TAGGAGGTGGAAAGGGATATAAAATCGCAAAAACGCGGAAACACCGTGAAGCCTGGGACGCAATGGGAAAGTTTTCCACCCACGTTTCACTGAGATTTAATTAAAACATTCACTTTTCCTTTTCAACCTTTTCTATTTTTATTATTTTTTTTCATAATAATTTTTACAATTTTTGCCAAAAGTTTTACATGCGGAATTGTAAAATTTCAGGAGGGGAATCATAACGATAATTATTATTATTTTTTGTCTTTAAAAATGATTTTTTTTGTAAAAAAAAATGAGGAATAAAAAGGGGGAATTGAGTTTTAATTTGGGGTATTTTATTTTCTTTACGTGGGTGATCATGAATATATTCTCGTTTGCATTCTAATCGAAAATATAAGGGACGTAAGAATCTTTCGCCCCTCTATATTCTTGAAATAAAAAATTCCTCCCCGTGGATTCCTCTCGAGCGCAAAATGCGAACTAGGGTTGAGAAAAAAAAATGAAGAATACGAAAGGAAGGGATGAGAACCAATATTTCGCACCCCTACGCAGCGCACGGACGAGTAATTTTTCGAGAGAACGGGTGGGTCTTCATGAAAAAAAAGGAGGGTGTGAAGATTGTGTGTGAAGAGGTGTCCAATCGGAAACTATTTCAAAATCAATACAAAATGGCAGACTCCGCCCTGTGGGGGTAACCCTCTCAACTCGTCTTTCTAATCTTGAATTAATTGAAAAAAGTATTGGGGGAGTTGAATAATGATATTCATGAGTGACACGTGAGAAAATAGGAGAAAAAGTCTTATGAAAATATTTGGGGGATGAAAAAAATTTCTCTTCTTGATCCGTCTTGCTTCGAAAAATTTACCCGGATTTTTTTTTCAAGAAACTCTTTCATTTTATTTCTCCAAGCTGATGATAATTGTAAAATAATTATTTTTCTTCATTCGTATTTCTTTTTGATTCATATTGCCGCTAGTTTGTAAGGATCTTAATGTCCACAATTTTATTTGAATAAATAATACGTGGTGAAAAAAAATTCGTTGATTTCATCTTGGGACGAGTCTTCAAAGGCAAAAAAAAATTTATGGAAAGATTTAAGAGATGAACAAAATTTGTCAAGTCTCTGCGGTGGCGCATGTCAATTAAAATTTGATTTGCTCCTCATTCGTATTGCTTCGAAAAATTTACCCGGATTTTTTTTTTCAAGAAACTCTTTCACTTTGTTTCCCCAAGCTGATGATAATTGTAAAATAATTAATTTTTCTTCATTGGTATTTCTTTTTGATTCATATTGCCGCTAGTTTGTAAGGATCTTAATGTCCACAATTTTATTTGAATAAATAATATGTGGTGAAAAAAAATTCGTTGATTTCATCTTGGGACGAGTCTTCAAAGGCAAAAAAAAATTTATGGAAAGATTTAAGAGATGAACAAAATTTGTCAAGTCTCTGCGGTGGCGCATGTCAATTAAAATTTGATTTGCTCCTCATTCGTATTGCTTCGAAAAATTTACCCGGATTTTTTTTTTCAAGAAACTCTTTCACTTTGTTTCCCCAAGCTGATGATAATTGTAAAATAATTAATTTTTCTTCATTGGTATTTCTTTTTGATTCATATTGCCGCTAGTTTGTAAGGATCTTAATGTCCACAATTTTATTTGAATAAATAATATGTGGTGAAAAAAAATTCGTTGATTTCATCTTGGGACGAGTCTTCAAAGGCAAAAAAAAATTTATGGAAAGATTTAAGAGATGAACAAAATTTGTCAAGTCTCTGCGGTGGCGCATGTCAATTAAAATTTGATTTGCTCCTCATTCGTATTGCTTCGAAAAATTTACCCGGATTTTTTTTTTCAAGAAACTCTTTCACTTTGTTTCCCCAAGCTGATGATAATTGTAAAATAATTAATTTTTCTTCATTCATTTCTTTTTTCGATTCATGTTGCTCTCTATTTCGTATGGATCTTAATGTCCACAATTTTATTTGAATAAATAATTTGTGGTGAAAAAGAATTCGTTGATTTCATCTTGGGACGAGTCTTGAAAAGAGAGAAAAAAATTGTATGAAAATATTTAGGGGATGAACGAAATTTGTCAACTCTCTGCAGCGGCGCATGTTTATTAATATTCGATTTGCTCCTCATTCGTATTTTTTTTATTCGTATTGCTTCAAAAAAATTACCTGGATTCGTCTTTTTCAAGAAACTCCCTCATTTTATTTATCCTAAGAAATAATATTCTCCTAATAGTTGATAATAATTGTATAACAATTAATTTTTCTCCATTCGCGTTTCTTTCTCATTCATATCGCTCGCCATTTTGTACGGATCTTAACGTCCACAATCATGCTTAAATAAATAATTTCCGTTAAAATAAAAATCGTAGATTCCATCTTGGGACTAGTTTTGTAAAATGTTACATTAAAGGATTGAAATTATCAAATTTCTAAATTGAACATGAGCATACTATAATTATCAGCGAATTGTGCAATTTTTCCTGCTGATTTTAAATAATTTGAAATGAGGGAAATCCACTGTCCCCTCTTTTCAATAGAACCGTCCGTCGAACGAACGTTAAAAATATACAAATATGTTCACCGAAACACCGATAATGATTTCCATTCGTACTCAGAGGGCCGTTAATATTGCAACGTTCGAGCCGTCATTTCCAGGTGTTTTTTCACATGTCATTCGTCAGAATGACATTGATGAAATTACAGTGATATTTAAAATCCTTCCTCCCATTTTCATAAATGAAAATCGTTTTCTCCACACAATGCCATTATTTACACTTCATAACCAGATAAACTCACCACATAGACAACACCGAGAAACATTAAACTAAAAATGTGCATGCGGTACCGTTGAATGACGCGATTAAAAAAAAAATCAGCAAACAAAATTATCACCAAATAGAGTTCCATCAGTTCAACTGAAAAAAAAATTCTTTGCTTGATCGTGCAAGAAGCGATTGACAATCAGCATGAGCCAGGCAGACTGAAAAATAATCCGCAAATAAAATGTGCGCGATGAAGGTGTTCGATGATTGTGAATAAAATAAACCAAGAAAAAAAAACGAATGTAATATTCATTTTTAAGAGTTGAGTAGTCAACTCACTCGCTGCAGGGTGGACCAGCATTCCTCGAGGGTGCGTTCGTTGATGTTGGCCATTCCACCGCCCCCGCCGGCACCTCCGAGACCAGCCGCAGAGGCACGAGACTGCGTTATCCGTATAGTAAGCGTGGATAGAGAGAGAGAGAGAGATATTTTTTGTTGATTTAAGATTGTCAATTTTACCCCTGAATTTTGATACCTCAAGAAGAGCCTCTTCGGCATTAAACTTTTACCCACCCCCCCCCC